TTGTTTATATTTTGGGGGTTTGTGTGTGTGTGTCTGTTTTTCTTGCTTTTTTGTATATTATGTTTCTTTTTGTAATGTGTATTTTAATCTTTGGAAATTTAATAAATATTTCTTTTTAAAAAAGTTAATAATGGGGGACAACGTAAGTAAGTTAAGAAGATTAAACAATGGCCTTCCAATAGGTTCTGTAATGGCACACTGCACTATTCAATTTATACATATCAAATATGTGACAAGAAGACACAAATTTGGATACACTGATGATTTGTTCATAGCAGTACAAGAAAAACACATGGAGGTTGCAAATAGCATCCTGTCCAAAGATCTTAAAACCTTGGGAAAATTCTTCACTGACTGAAGGCACTCCTAGTACCGGGAAAATGATAACTATGTGTTTAATGACAAACTAGCATATGAAGCCCCAAAAGTCTACTTAAAGAACAATTTACTTCATTTTTAATCCTCATCCAAAGTAACCTGGAGTAATATTGGACCAGATTCTGTCCTATACGAAACACCTAGAGAATATGGAATATAACATATTCCAGAAACTATGTGGAAGGAGAACTTCAGCTGCAACCCTCAGATCTTCACTACTAAAGTTGGTCTTCTCCATAGCTGAATACTGTGCATCTTATGCCTTAGCTTAATACTAGTACGTTAGATGCCAAATGACACCATGACAATTATAATTGGATGTATTAAAACCATTCTGACTTGCTTATTTCCTCTTCTAAGCTCACAAAACTCACAATTTCGAGTGAACCAGCATCATTTCTATAAGATTTTTGAAAGTAGAGATGGTGCTACCACAAGTGAAAAATCTAACAAAGAAATTTCCCTGAAATTTTGGAAGAACTTGTGGGAAAACAACAAGAAGCACAATGGGAATGCAAAGTGGATCAAGCTGGTTGAAAACACTGTAAAAGTGACTAAAATAGAAGATGTTCATACAACAAAAGAAACAGTGCAAAAACAGGCAAAGAAGGTCAAGAACTGGAGTGCCCCTGGTTTTGATGAACTGCACAGATTCTGGTTGAAATCACTAACAAGTTTGAATGCAGGATTAGGGTTGAGCTCATTGCTGAAAATCACTGAGGAGTTTAGCAGAGACATTGAGATGCAATTTGGCATTGACAAATATGCAACAATTGTTAAGGCAGGAAAAGTTGAAGTTGATGGATTTGAATTTGATAATGAACATTTGATAAAAACATAACAGGGAGGGATACAAGTACTTAGGAGTTTTAGAAGCCTTGACCTGTTGCACAATCAACTCAAGGAATCTACTTGAACACAATCCAATCCAAAAAAATTTGAGATCAAAGCTAAGTGGAGGAAATATCATAAAGGCAATTAATACCTGGGCAGTGCCTGTAATACCATACTCAGCTGGAATAATTGATTGGATTCAGCTTGAACTTGATAAGTTGGATTGAAAGACAAGAAAACTAATGACAATGCACCACGCTCTGCACCCAAAAAGTGAGGTTAATCTATTGTACTTGCCAAGATCTCAGGGTGGCTCTTATAGGTGAAACAAACTGTGGAAGAGGAAAAACACAGCTTAAATGACTATATAAAAAAAGCAAAAGAGCTTTTGCTGAAAGAGGTAAACAAGGAATACCACTTGAAAACAACAAGATTGAAAGCAGAATATTAAAAGGAAACAATCGAGTCTCGGGTTTCTAACTGGAAAAAAAAAAGCCTATGTACAGTCAATACCTGAAGGACATTGAAGGAAAGATAGATACAATGCTAACATATAGAAGGTTGAGATCAGGACTGCTGAATAAAGAAAGAGAAGGCTTCATTTGGCTGCCCAAGAGCAAGCCTTGCAGACCAATTTCCATGAAAGCAAAAATTCAACATGTCAATAACAACAGCAAATATTGCTTATGCAATGAGAAAGATGAAATAGTGGATCACCTTATCAGTGGCTGTGGCAAAATTTCACAGACTGATTATCTACAACATCATGATCAAATAGCCAAAATTATACATTGGAAGGTTTGCCCAAAGTTTGGCTTTGAATGAAGCAAAATGCTGAGAACACCAAATTGACAAAGTTCTTGAAAAGGAGCAAATGAAGATCCTGTGGAACTTTTGAATACAAATAGACAGATATATGGCCCACCACATGCCTTACCTCACTATTGTGGAACAGAAAATGTAGTAGTAGGATTTTTGAAGCAGTACCCAAAGGGCTGCCTAGGTACATGGAAATTTTGAATTTATTAGATCTGAATATCCTGACTTTGCAAAAAAAATCCATCCTACTCGGAACTGCCTATATACTCAGAGGTTTCCTTAATAGCTCTTAGGTCCTTAGGACTTAAACTGTTAAGTCCCAGATTGTCAATCGAATTGAGGTTTAAATCAATAACAACAACAATAACAACAACAACAATAGCAACAACAACTCCTTCCACTGGTTTCCATGCGTCTTAGATTTTAAATAAAAAGAACAGCAAGCATTCTGAAGGTGCTTTCTGGGCCTTGTTATGATATAGTATCTCCCTCCTTTGTTTCAAAAGTTGTTTTTTCCATTTTGTCTTCTCATATATTTATTTGTTTCCACTTTATATTAATTTGTGAGATGCTAATATGAGGTGGGACAGAAGGGGTAGCCAAATGAGGTTAGAGAAAGTCAGACCTTTCCTAAAGCAGATTCATGATTGATAGATAATTCTTCTCTTGGGTAATGATATGTTGAAGGGAAATAGCAGCAAAGCCAGAGCAAACAGTCACCTTGCCTGGAGAAATTAAATAGAAGAGGAAGCACTAAGCAATCATGGCCTGGTTCACAACTATTGTCTCAATATTCATGTCACAATTCATGAAAGAAAAGGAACCTGCATGAATTAAACTGCATTCTGAGAGATCATTTGGGGTAGAAAATGGAAATAATCCAGAATGGGGATAACAAGATGAAAATAGAAAGATAACTGTCTGCATGTTAACTGAGATACAGGATGCAGATATAATAGGTGCTAATGGAATAGACAACATCTTTTGGATCTTAATTTTTGTGACGTTTCTACGAGTTTATCACATCCCTTCTCTTTGCAAATTGTCCCTATTGATGCTTGTGTGTATAGGTCTTTTCAATTTTACAGAGGATTTAAACTGTGCCACAATCTAATTATTCACAAATGCCAGTTCTTTGAATAAAAGCTCTTCATGCATTCACAGTAATGCAGCAACAGTGCTAGACATTCTCATTTTTGTTCCTACTGCTACAACTTTTTGGTCCACTGATAACTAACTCCTGCTCACAGAATATAGATGCTATTTCTGTAGTACATAGGGATGTGTTTGGTTCTAACATACCACCTTGATTTTCTAGACCTAGTAGAGCTCCTCGTCTCCAGGAAATTATGCAGAACATAAAGAAGGGATCATACACAATTTTCACTTGGATAGCAAGGGGTCTTCTGCATGTTATCTTACATATTAATCTGTGAGAGTGTCTTACCTTGCAAATTCCAAATGTGCTGTAGATACAGATAGTCAACTTAAATCTACAATTGAACCTGGAATTTAGATTGTAAAACATTGCAGTAGTTAAACAAGACAGCCATGTGACTTCCTTGCTGAACAGTTGCAATTCTGGCTGTCCCCAGAGAGCTGTCATTGTTAAGTGACCTGATGGATTGTTAAGCGGATGGAGTGAAAGAACTGTCTGCCATTCTTTTTGGTGTGTGGGGTGATGTGTGGTGTGTAGGGGTGTGTGTTTCCTTCTTTCACCTAACACTGTAGTTATCTTCCCTTCCTTAGGCAGAAGGGAACTTCATCTCAAAATCCAAGCAGGATATTGGTATGACATTTGCAGCATTGGGCTTTGGAGCCATCCCCCAGAAACAAGAGGTAATCTCCAGAAATTCTCTCTATTCTGTGGGTGGCTGTAAATGAGCCTTCCTAAAAAAAAATCCTGCTTGGATTTCAGGCTTTTTGAGAGTAAAAACACTGCTTGATAAAGAGACTCCACCCTGCAGAAGAGTGCAGTGCTAGGAATAATTAAGATACTGCACAGTATTCTCAAACTTCCAGGCCTCTGGTAGAAGATTTAAGATTGCAAAATAAACATACCAACCATGAGGATGAGATTTTTAAAATAAGCATATGAGACAAGTTGATGCTTCTTGTATAAAATATATATATTTAGTGGCTTTTCTGATTTAGTAAACAAATCAATCGTTCTGAAATGGAAAGTAATGGCTCTCTAAGTCCCTTTCTTAATCACATCTTCCAAGCGTACAAGTTTGTTAAAATCTTCCTCTGCAGTGTTGAACACTACTCTCCGCCCTCAGAGCAAAGGAATTCTAAAAAAGGATCCCACAAGCAATAATGATACATCTTCTAAAGATTAATCAACCATAAAGACTATAATTGAACACATGTCATTGCTTGATTAATTGCTTCACTAAAATCATCCACATCCTACATATATCAGAATAATATTCAACAGAGGCTAGTGCAGTATATACAAAGCCTGGGATTGTTATTGGTCTCATCATTCCCACTCTTTGTTCTGTTTGTTTCCATAACTTCTTTTTGTTTGAAAAGATAAGGGGGCTGATGAAACCTGACAGCAGGACATCATTTTTTTTCAGAGTATGATTCATGCTGCCAAAAGTTATTGGAGCAGGGGGAGAAGGAGAAGGAAAGAGTAGTAACAGAAACAAAATAGATGTTTACTCTTCTATTCCTCTTCCCAATAGTTTTGCTCCTGAAGTGCTTGTGCACATTTCCCCACTGGGTTCTGTTTCCATACTTAGGGCTCAGCAGAGAGAGAAGGAGCCAGGTATGGGTTGCAGTTACTAGAATGGTAAATTGTGAGCAGGGATGAGGTCCCTACTATAGTTCCCCTGCTTTGAATCACACTTTTTAGTGCCTGGCTTTACAGTTCTGTTATGTATTTTAACATATCAAAGTTGTCATTGCTTTATTTTATAAAGGCATAACTGTGCATCTCCCTTTTCAATACATTTTGCTAGGTGAAATTACTGCAGCTGATATGAGGAGATTTTCTGCTGTTGGAAAAAAATCCATTTGGTTCAGTTCCAAGCTGGGAAAAATGCTGGAAACAACATAGAGGCTGGACGCTGTTTGGAAAGTTGGTTTATTGATGAACAGAACTACCAGTGTTTGTAAGTATAAGTATAAGTATAATTTTATTTCTATACCGCCCTTCTCCCAAAGGACTCAGGGCGGTGTACAGCCTATTTAAAAACACAAGACAAACATCAATTAAAAATTTAAAATTATTAAATAAATTCGGCTCAATTTAAAACCCCAAAAAATTTAAAATACCCCAATTTAAAATATTACGTTGATAGCCCAGCCTGGCGGAACAACAGGGTCTTCAATGCACAGCGAAATACCTGGAAGTCGGAGATCTTACGTATTTCCGGGGGCAGTTCATTCCACAGGGCTGGGGCTCCCACAGAGAAGGCCTTTCCCCTGGGTGTCGCCAGCCGACATAACTTGGCCGATGGCATCCTGAGGAGACCCTCTCTGTGGGAGCGAACTGGCCGGTGGGAGGCTATTGGTGGCAGAAGTCGGTCTCGAAGGTACCCGGGTTCTATGCCATGGAGCGCTTTAAAGATGGTGACCAACACCTTGAATCGCACCCGGAAGACCACTGGGAACCAGTGCAGCTCACGCAGGAGGGGTGTCACATAGGCACAACGAGTTGCGCCCATAACCACCCGCACGGCCGCATTCTGGACCAGTTGGAGTCTCCGAGTGCTCTTCAAGGGGAGCCCCATGTAGAGAGCATTAGAATAGTCCAGCTGGGAGGTGACAAGGGCATGAGTGACCGTGCGCAAGGCGTCCCGGTCCAGAAAGGGCTGCAACTGGAGAATCAGGTGAACTTGATAAAAGGCCCCCCTGGCCACGGCCGTCATATGCTCTTCCAAAGACAGCCGTGCATCCAGGACACCCAGATTGTGAGCCCTCTCTGTGGAGGGCAAAGATTCACCCCCAATAGTCAGCGATGGCACCTGCTGACTATATCGGGATGCTGGAAGCCACAGCCACAGTTTGTGGTTCTAGATCAGCGGAACAACTGGTTTGATGAGTACATGGATTTTTATAAGTTTCAGAGATGCTGCTAGGAGGGTTGTGCAATGTCTGAAATGCCCTTAGCAAATTAGTGAGCTCTGAGTCTTCTGCTAAATGGTAGTGGGTTAATCCCATTATGTCCTGAAGGATCATGTCCTGTTCTTAATCCCATCACCCTGGAGCTGAAGGTCTTTTGTTTTGTAGATAGCCTGGGCCAGTCTTTCTTAATGGGCACAAAATATCTGCTGGGGGGAGGCTATTAAGAAAGACTTAGTCTGCTTTCTGTCTTTAAGAGCATGTTTCTCCATTTCTCCCTTTGGGTAAATATAATATTCTGCCTTTTTAATATTTCTCAAAATCTTTCATTCTTCTAGGAGCATGGGCTTCCCACACTGCTCTTAATCTCTTAGCATTGAGAAGAGTCTCATGGATAAGGAGTACTGAGCACTATGTAAAGTGTTGCTGAGCTTGGTCATCCTGGTGAGGTCAGCTACCATCAGGAAGACCAACCATGAATTTGCAGAGCCCATCCATGCTAAGCCAAAGCCAACGTGCAGATTTCATAGACATCATATGCCAATGAATTTCAGAGCATGCTATATGTTAATGTATGTTCTGATATGACAAGCCTCTGCCCTTTGGAAAACCCTTACATGTTGCATAGTCTATTCCCATTCTTTTTGCTTCCATAGCATTTAGCTCAGGGAGTTCAGCATAGTTACCAAATGAGGCAAACTGTTATTGTGATATTCTGTGACTGCAATTCAGCATCTATCTTTACTACCTTCAATACATCTAGAGTCTATTGTTACTTCATTGAAAAACACATGTTTACAGTGTTTCACCTGCTCTTCCAGTTCCTTTAAAGCTTCTGCGTTTTTCTTCATTCATTCTATAACAATTGAAGCACTATCTGCCTTAGAATGCCTTTTAATATGATGCTAATGCAGATAATTCCCAAATATTGTTGCTGAAAGCCACATAGTAAGAAATTTCCTAGATTCCTCCATTTCTATTTGTCTTTGATGAAACCCTTTTCTCTAGCTAATGATTAGTAAATATTCTTAGTCTTAGATCTGAGATAAGGAGGAAAATTCTGCCTGAAGCTGATCACAGGTCTGTATAATCTCATTTTTTTCTTCTTCATAAAAGACAAAAAGCATTTTCCATTCACTCTCCACTTGGGCATTAGATTGGAGCCTCTAATGTGCTGCAGTGACAGCTTATATAATGTCCCTTTTCATATTTTCTTTAAATTCAGTTGAAGTAAATTCCCAATTATTATCCAAACTAACACAGCAACATTGAATACCCATTAAATTGCAAATAATTTAAGCCATACAGTTATTGTAGCCAGGGAGTTTTATGTAGCTATTAAAATGATTTCAAACCATTTAAATAAGAATCTACAACAATGAAGAAATGATTCTTGTGTAATGGTCCTCTAAAATTTTTATGAATTCTTTATCAAGGTTTCTTGGTGAATTCCCGATGGGAGGTAGATCCGCCTACAAGGAGCCACCTTCAGTGGTGGGATTCAGCCAGTTTGCACCAGTTCGAGCGAATGGGTTGTTTGCCCTCCGCTATCAAAGTGGATCCTGGGCGCTCCGCTGCAATGGAAAAATGGGCAGCAGAGTGGCCGACGTGAGGGAAGGAGAAGACCGCTTTCCTTCTTTCTTCTCCCTTCTCCTCCTCCTTCCCTTGTGCCAGCCACTCCATTGTCCGTTTCTCCATTGCAGCACAATGAACCACCCAGGATCCACTTTGGTAGTGAGGTGGTGATGGTAATAAATTTCTGGGCCACACTAACCCTGCAGTCTCCCCTAAATTAGGCCCAATTTCGATCGTGCTGCCAACTTAACTCCTGCCCCTCTCACTTTTGCCTGCAGACTGACCAATGCTCCCTGCATGCAGCTCCATGGGGAGGGGGGAATTCCTCCCTCCACTTCCCCCCAATTTTTCACCTTCCTGCATGAACTCTTGGGAGCATCAACTCCTTGTCTCTATGTCAACCTCCCCTCCTCATTCCTTGGAAACCTTGCCATTCAGAAGGCTGAAACAGCCATGAGACCTACATGCAGACAAGCACTATCAGAAACAACCTTTTGGCAAAGGGTGGAAATTTAACAACTGGTTCTCCCTGGGTAGAGGTTGGCTGTTGCGGGAGGCTAGTCCCACATGTGTGGTGAAGCTGGAGGACGGGGATGGGCCATGCCTTCCATGACAGCCAACCTGACCCCTGGGCAAACTGATTGTTAAATTATTTGAATCCTACCACTGTCCGCATTCCTTTACACATTATTGAATATCTGACTTGAACTCAATCACACAGATTGGCCACAGATGTCTTGCCAATATCTTCTTACAAAGAATTCCAGGATATGCTTCCTAAGACCCAGCTGACACCTCCCTTCTAAAATTACAATGCATTTGCCTCATAATTGTATCTTTGATAGGAAGATCTTTCAATACAATTTAAGAATTATCCTGTCTTGGAGGGGCACATACCACCAGCATAAATGAATGGCATGGAGAACACATTTTCAAACTCAGATTTCTTTTTTGACATGAACACATGGTTTATTAATGTCAAAAAGTTTTTTCAGGAATTGTTGGAATATTTCAGGGGCTCTAACAATTACAGATTTAATAGGCTCATCATTGTTGAGAGTCATCATTGTTTGGGTATCTCACTTGCTGCAACTAGCTGTCAATATTAGGTTACATTAAACTTTGTAAAATGTAAGGTCCAACAAAAAAAGGCGTGGCTTAAGTACCTTATTTGTGATACATTTATAAATCTCCAGAAAGACCAACCTTGCCATTGGGCTTTAATAATAGTAACCTGCAAGGCAATTTCTTATCCTGACATGTAAGAAATTTCTAATCCAGCAGTCCTTAAAGAACATCCATAAAATAGAGATGCCCTTATGAAATTATTGGGATTGTTCATGATATTTAAACCTTTGTGTAACATTTTAGGCAAAAAATGTATTTTCAGTAATATCACAACTTCATTAAATGAGAGACCTGATTTTGACAAATATTTGGGACTGCATACAATAATCACTTCTGTTCTGGATTCTTCATATTATTTGCCTTTAGATAAATACAGACCATTTTATGTAGAAAATACAGATAAGGGACGTTGGTCTTACCGTGATACGTTCCTTCTCATAGTGTAAAATGGGAGGTGCCAGGCTGGGATATTCCTTGCTCTAGCTTTATGTCCTGAGCTGAAAACTTCTGAAGATCCGCCTCCCTGGTGACGTCTCTTCAGTTTTGCCCGCAAAGCCAAAGCGAACGGTACGCCGTCCAGGCGAATGGAACGCAGTCTGAAAGATAGAAACAACATGCTCCACCAGGGGAGCCAGTCCAGGCAGCCACAGACAGGGTGGGGCTGGCACCTCCCATTTTACACTATGAGAAGGAACGTATCACGGCAAGACCAACGTCCCTTCTCCATAGTGTAGAAATGGGAGGTGCCAGGCTGGGATATACCAAAGACTGGCCAGCCCTAAGGGAGGGGGCTGTCCTGGGCCGACGACCCCGGATCTTCATGAACCCGCTGCAGTACTCGTCTACCAAATGCAGCCTCCGCCGAGGCGAAGGCGTCAAGTCTATAGTGACGGATAAAGGGAGTGGGAGTAGTCCACGTGGCCGCCCTACAGATGTCTTCTACTGACGCCTGAGTAGACCAGGCCGCAGTTGTGGCAGCACTGTGGGTGGAGTAGGCCGTTATCCCTTGAGGCACCGGGAGAGCCTGAAGCTCATATGCAGATGAGATGCACGTCCGAAGCCAGCGCCCCACCATGGAAGAGGTCACCCTGTGGCCAAGAGTTGACGGCTGAAAGGACACAAAGAGTGCCTCCGTCTTTTGTAAAGAAGAGGTCCTAAAAATGTAAATACGGAGGGCCCTCCTCACATCCAAGGTGTGCCAGGTCTGCTCCAAGGCGTGCCTAGACCGAGGGCAGAAGTCTGGCAGGACCAACTCCTGTGCTCGGAAGAACAAGGAATTGACCTTAGGAAGGAAGGCAGGGTCCAGCCGCAGGACCACCCTGTTGGGGTGAAAAATAAAT